TTCAGGGCCGCAGACTAGACAATATTTCCTCTTTTCCTGTGAGCTGAAGTGAAGCAGAGTATATGAGTCTTTCTTATGATTGCTCAGATGGACTCCGTGTACAGATGTGCTGCTGTATAGTGGACGGATGTGTCATTTGTTCCTGTGCTGTCTGTAGTTCTGTGTTCAGGGTCTCGCTGGCCATTATCATGCTCTACTTTCCCAGGCTCTTTATTCTGTGCCAGAAGCATTGATGGTTGCGTTTTAATGGTCTGAGTTTTTCTAAAGGAAAATTCTGTTGTGATTCACAAAAGCTTTTACTATAGTTATATATAACTCAACGCACTCATGTGGAACACCAGTGCAGATATGCTGTAAATAACCACAAGGGGAAAGTAAAGCAAATTAAAGGGGCTTTATTGGGGGAATAGTTGGATATATTCATATTGAACAAAACTTATATTAAGAATTATTTGCCCTTCTGTTAAATTTGAATTCTTTTACATTTTCCCCCTAATTTCTGTTTAACAGAGAGATTTTTTTCAACCCATTTATAAATATAATAGTTTAATATCTCATTTCTAATAACTGATTTCTTTTCTCTTCACCATGATGACAGCACATAATATTACACTAGATATTCTTCAAGACACTAGTATTCAGTTAAAGTGACATCAAAAGGCTTAACTAGGGTAATTAGGGTAAGTCTTGACTCGAGCCGGCCTTCCCAGCGTGTATATCATGCTCCGACAACATCGCCTGCGCTGGCTTGGCCATGTGCGCCGCATGGAGGATGGGAGAATCCCAAAGGATATCCTCTACGGAGAACTCTCATCTGGGAAGAGAACTATAGGACGCCCAATTCTGAGATTTAAAGATGTCGTGAAGAGGGACATGAAAGCCCTCGACATAAACACCAAGTCCTGGGAAGACCTCGCAGCAGACCGCCTGAAATGGAGGTACACCCTGACCAAACAGCTCAAGTCAGGTGAGAAGAACATGATGCATGCGTCAGAGGACAAGCGGGTTCACCGAAAGGTGCAGAACGTGAGCCAGGGAGCCACCTATCAATGCCACTGCTGTGGTAAAAAATGCCTTTCCCGTATTGGTCTCTTCAGCCACCAACGACGCTGTCTCAGACAATCAGTCATGCCTCAAGATAAGAGCTAGGATACGTCATCCATGGTCAACACTGACCGACGGAGGCCTACTATTCTGGAGACAATCAATATATATAAACCAGAGACCTTGCTTTGAAGTGATTTTGCTACCCACTGCGTTACCATGACGCCATAAATATATATATATATATATATATATATATATATATATATATATATATATATATATATATATATATATATATATATAGTTAACAAAGAATGGTTGGGATCATACAGGTAATCCAGTATTGTAGTCAAAAAACAGGCAAGTGATTCGTACAGGCAACAACGGAAAACCAGGCAAAGATCAAACAAAGAGTGACTAAATAGGGTAACGCTTCTTAATGCTACAATACAGTGAACAAGACTCAGCCTGAGGTGTGTGTCTGTGCAGCTTAAATAGTCCTTGTTATCAGTCTTTGATGCTCTTTGTGCTGTGTGTGTGTGTGTGTGTGTGTAATCAACGAAATGTGGAACAGCTGTGTGTGTGAAGTGCATGAAGGGAGTTGTGGTCCATAATGTGGTGGACTAATATAGCCACTAGCGATCATAACAAGGGGGTTAAAATATTGAATTTAAAATTATAAAAAAAATAAAGCCTAATTTTATTCTAGTCAAAATAAAACAAGAACAATAAAACAATATCAGCAGAAAAAAAATTATTGGAAATACTGTGAAAATTTCCTTGTTCCATAAAAATATTTTACTCTAAATCTTTTAAAAAGAATAAATATTTTACAGGGGGGCAAATAATTTTGCCCTTAACTATATATAAAGATGGGCGACGCTGTGGCTCAGTAGATACCACTATGGCCTCAAGCCAAAGAAGTTCGCTGGTTCGAGTCCGGGCTGGGTCAGTTGGCATTTCTGTGTGGAGTTTGCATGTTCTCCTCGTGTTGGCGTGGGTTTCCTCCGGGTGCTCCGGTTTCCCCCACAGTCCAAACACATGCGCTATAGGTGAACTGATCAACTAAACTAGTGTATGAGTGTGTGTGTGAATGTGAAAGTGTATGGGTGTTTCTCAGTACTGGGTTGCAGTTGGAAGGGCATTTGCTGTGTAAAACATGCTGGATAAGTTGGTGGTTTATTCCGTTGTGGCAACCCTTGCTGAGTAAAGGGACTAAGATGGAGGAAAATGAACGGATCGTATATAAAGATCTTCCTGGATGTCTGTGAAAACCTTTCTGATTATATTGGGTAAATTTGATTTATTTTTGGTAGTAAAATCAAAAGGATGTGAGGTCTTGATTGCAATTAATCAAATTGCACTTCAATGAATCAAACGTAACGCAACTTGAGTTGGTTTTCATCTGTGCGGTTGTTTGGTGTGTCTCTAAGACTAAAGCTAAATCAAAATTTGCCGTCATTAAACCCCGCTGACAGACGAGCAAGAGCCAACAATTAGGAAGGTGTTTCATGTCCTTGGCAGCCGAGAACTAAAATCTCCTTTCTAATTAAGAAGAGGATGTTCATTAGCATCACACGCATTAAGCTTTCTCAATAGTCAACACTGAAGAAAATGCTGGAAGAAATTCTTGATACATTGTTTTATTCCTCCATGGCTGAATCCGCTGGCATTGTCTCATTGGTCACCACTAATCTGCTAATTAACAGATAATTAACAGATATTTTGTGCTCCTGTGGTCATTCCTTCCTCTCAGTGACACGCTCAGATTCATCATTTATCCACTGATAGGAACCAGAAACTTGTGTTTAGTCGATCTGTAAACAAGATCTGTTAATGAATAGTTTCCATATTTAGTGTGCTTTGGATTTATTTACAGTGATGAATTGCATTATGGGATGTTGATCTCTACTCTGTCCACTTTTGTTGTTGAAAATTGAACTCTACAGTTTAACAAAGTGACTTTAAGTGACATTTTAGATGTTTAAACTAATGTACATAAAAACAATATCTTGAGAAATAAGTAAAAATTGTGCTGCAGTTTACTACAGGGTTTCTGTATACAACACCAACACAGACAATACAGCACTTTACACTACTAAAAATGGCATATATATATATATATATATATATATATATATATATATATATATATATATATATATATATATATATATATATATATATATTCAAATGTCATATTAATTTTAGTAATATTATTGACTTATTTGCAGATGTTTATATGATTTGTGTCATTTTTTCTGTTTTTCAGTAGATCTATTACTCGACACTTTAGTTGCCAAACAAGTGCACTGTAAAAAAATCCATAATTTTACGTTTTATTTCCAGCAGCTGGGGTCCCGGGAAAAAACGAAAATAACGGCTGTTGAATTACAGAAATTTACCAGAAATTTAAATTTAATTCTGTAATTTAATGGACTTTATTTACTTTATTTATTCTATCTATCTATCTATCTATCTATCTATCTATTTATTTATTTGTTTATTTATTTATTTATTTATTCCGTGTGTTTAGCAAAATCAGCATAAATTTGAGGGCAGAAATAGCAAATATTCCATTCATATTATTGAATAATATGCAATATTTTAGATATATTATGGACAATGCAACTTAAGTAATAGTTTCTCTTTTTAGTGGATGTATTGCATGAGAAAACTGCTGTAGCTTGGCAGTTTTTATTTTTAATGTTTTCCGTTTTTCATTTTTATGTTTGCAGATCCCACACTCAAAATCAGTCCCTAATAATTCCCAGATTAATTATTATTATTATTATTATTATTATTATTATTATTATTATTATTATTATTATTATTATTATTATTATTGTTGTTGTTGTTGTTGTTGTTGTTGTTGTTATCATTATTATTATTATTAATATTATTATTATTATTATTATTATTATTATTATTGTTGTTGTTGTTGTTGTTGTTGTTATTATTATTATCATTATTATTATTATCATTATTATTATTATTATTATTGTTGTTGTTGTTGTTGTTATTATTATTATCATTATTATTATTATCATCATTATTATTATTATTATTATTATTACTAACCACTGTGCCACCGTGTCGCCCACACATTTGTATAATAGATAATAACATGTATGTACATATTTGTAATTCTAAAGATTTAAAAAAAACATATAAACTGGCATGTTTGCAATATTTTGATATACAGTATTTGACAAATGTTTTAAATATATGCAAAACCCAAACAAGAACTTTTTGTCATATGTGTAATTTGCATATATTTCCATATATGACATTTCTAGATGATCCACATTGTTTGATCACTGAATCACATGTATATCTTGATGAGCACGACTGACTCATACTGCGATCTTACATTTTCTTTACGTCACACACATTTTATACCTCATTTCTCTTCTTGTCAGAGCTGAATAAAGTTCCTCACATAATTCAGGTGTCAATGTGGCTGAAATAAACCTCCTAATTAACAAATAACTAGACGGATGCTTAATGAGGGACGAGCACAATGAGGATTCCTGAGACGATTTCTTAATGAAATGAAGCTCATTGTTTGTGTCGCCAACCTGATTTCACCAAGTAGGACGTGCTCCTGAATAAACATCTATGTTGATCCTGGAACAATAGTCCAATCAGCCAATCAGAATTAAGGGATATGTTTACAGTTTATCTTAATACTAAGTACTTCTACATGATAGTTATCTAACTATTATTGCCCTCTGATTTTAGGAATAGTTTACAGGTATGGTTGGGTTTAGAGGTAGGGAATAGCTATAGATTACATTTTCCAACAAAAATTATGTTCCAGGAGCAACACAGATGTTAATCCAGTACCGTGTTGTACTTGGCAAACTCACGACGTTGCTTATTTATGTTGAGATGATTGTCAGATATTCGTAAAACTTAATGACTTTAAACTTTTTTTGTTGGTGTTTCAGAACGCAGAAGCCAGCTTCGACTTTAGTAGCAACGACCCATACCCTTACCCGCGCTACACCGACGACTGGTTTAACAGGTAATCACAAGATCTATCTATCTATCTATCTATCTATCTATCTATCTATCTATCTGTCTGTCTGTCTGTCTGTCTGTCTGTCTGTCTGTCTGTCTGTCTGTCTGTCTGTCTGTCTGTCTGTCTGTCTGTCTGTCTGTCTGTCTGTCTGTCTATCTATCCATCGTCTTGTCATCGATTCCAGTGAGAGCATTAAATAATAACTGGACTTCAAGTTGATGATGTGTAAAAGTGTCAGAAGGTGGATTTCTCTGCTGGATCATCTGCTGATCTGCATCCCAATCATCACCAATACTGCAGAAGACCTACTGGAACCAGCATGGACCAAGATTCTCACAGAAATCAGTCAAGTTTGGTGAAGGAGAAATCATGGTTTGGGGTTTGGGGACATTTGTGCTGCCCATTACATTACAAACCACAGGAGAGGGACAATTCTCCAGCAGGATAGCGCTCCTGCTCATACTTCAGCCTCCACATCAAAGCTCCTGAAGGTCAAGCTGCTGCAGGATTGGCCAGCCCAGTCACCAGACATCAACATTATTGAGCTGATGAAGAAGGAGGCGTTGAAGATGAACACAGAGACTCTTGATGAGCTCTGGGAGTCCTGCTGAAGGCTTTCTTCTTCATTCCAGATGACTTTATTAATCAGTGATTTGAGTCATGTCAGAGATGTATGGATGCAGTCCTCCAAGCTCATGATGGAGTCAGACACAATATTCATTCTGTCTCCACTGCAGCAGGACTTTATATTCTATACTGGACATTATTTCTGTTCAGTGATGAGACTTTAGTCTGAGCAGAGTCAGACCGCACTGTCCTCATCAAATCAGTCAACATCAAGACATGATCAGATTTATTGTGTCCTGTAATAAACTGCAGCACATGTTCTGCTATTTTACAGACTTCTTTAGATATTGTTTCTTATACATTTTATCTTTTCAAACTAGTAAAATGTCATTAAAAGTCACTTTGTTAAACTGTAGAGTTAAATTTTTAAAATCAAATGTGGACAGAGCAGAGATTAACATCCCATAATGCAATTTACCACCATAAATAAACACAAAACACAATAAACTGTTCATTTATGGGTATTTTTTTACAGTAAGACTAAAATTCTAAGTGAGAACTATTTTCGCGTAATTTTTAAAATAAATTTCCATATAAACACAGGAATTAAATACCATTCTGAGGCTCCTATTCAACTACAGTTGAAACTCAACATTGCATATCTATTTATTTGAATGATTCCCCCTTTATTGATGCTTCAAAAATTGCATTATGGGACTTTGATCTTTCTTCCAACAACTTTTAACTTTAAAAAGTTAGAAAAAGTAACTCATAGTCCAGAACTGCGGACCATTGCACATGTGCACATTGTGATATCGATGTTAAGATGACAATTCTAATTCATACTAAATTATATGAAATAGATGATATGAATTTCATAGGAAGGCTGATTCGTATGAAATTCATATGATCTAATTCATATAATTTAGTATGATTTGCTCATCAACCAATGACGGTTGGGTTTAGGGGTGGGGTTAGGTGCCACCTCCTTTTTAAAATCATACATTTTTGTTTGATTAAACTCGCATGAATTTGTACAAATTAGCTTGTAAACTTTGTCATGAGATCAGACTGGAAATGACACACTGAAAATAAGGACTTTTGTGTAAGTTTTTGAGTTGAAGCAACACAATTCTTAAGGGTTTTCTTGGGCAAAATTTAATTATTTTATGTTCAATCCACTTCAATGTGTAAAAACGATTAAGTTAACTTTATCAATTTGTGTTGGGATAACATGAAGGAATGGTTTGAAACCCTGCATTTTATATAAATTCCATATAATTACAGTAAATAAATACAATTCTGCCGCTCCTGGTTAACTATATGCCACACTCAACATTGCTTATCTTTTAATGCATTTGTGCACATTGCTGAATTAATATATTGTGCATCCCGGCGACAGGTTTTGCAGCTTCATTTCTAAGAGTATAAAATGTAAAAGAGCTGTTCCTGGGTCAGTAGATGCTGAGGTAGATATCTGTGTCTCCAGCAGTGCAGTGAGCGCTGAAGGATGAAGGGCTCTCCGTATTGATTTTCCTTACACGCAGCTCCATTATAAGCCATCTTTCTCTGGCTCTCAGCCCAGATGCATTAACAGAACCGCACCGTCCTCTCTCTGACCACAGGCGAACGACCCAGAAGAAGAGCTTTTTAACACCACCATTTCACCTCTGCCTTAAAACTGAAGAAGAACTCAGTGTTCAATAAGACTTTGAGGACAACACATGCATTTAATACACAAATACACTTCATTAAACATGCACACTCAGACCTACACATAGTACACATAGATTTCTTTTCTGTTTGCCATGATGACAGCACATAATATTAGACTAGATATTCTTCAAGACACTAGTATTCAGCTTAAAGTGACATTAAAAGGCTTAACTAGGGTAATTAGGGTAAAGTTAGGGTAATAAAAAAAAAACACCCATGCACATTCAATCATACTACAGCCAATTTAGCTTACCCAATTCACCTATTGTGGGGGAAATCGGAGCACCCGGATGCAAACTCCACACAGAAACACCAACTGACCCAGCTGAGGCTCGAACCAGCAACCTTCTTGCTGTGAGGCAATTGTGCCACTCACTGCACCACTGTGATGCAGATTAATTAATTAATTAATTAATTTAATCAAAGTAAGCTAAAATAAAATAAAACTTTAAAAATTAAAAAAATAAATAAACAAATAATAAATAAATGAAATGAAAAAATATTTAAAAACTAATTAACTAAATTAAATTAAAATAAGCAAAAATTAAATTAAAAATATAAATGAATTAAATAATTAATTTTATTCATTTATAAAAATTTATAAATTTTTAATTTAATTAAATTAATTTAATTCATTTATAAAAAATTTATAAAAAATACAATAAAACTAAATTAAATTAAAATAAAATAAGTTTTAAAATAAATGAAAAGAATTTAATTAAAAAGAAAAAAATATTAATTAAATAAAAAATAAATTGAATCGAAAATAAATAAATTAAATTAAAATAAGCTCAAATAAAATACAAAATAATAATAAATAAAATAAAATAAAAACAAAATAGCAGTGGAGAGAGAACTCTCCTGTGTTTACGGTGGACAGAAGGTGCTCAGCAGGAGGAAGAGCAGTGTGGACTGGCAAGACTTCAGTCAGTAAAGCTCCATCTCACACACACACATGCACAAACACACGCACACATGCAGACACACACCCATGCGCACACACAGACACATGCACTCACTCACACAAACAAAGGCATGCACACACTCACACACATTTACAAAAACACAAACACAAACGCACACATGCTCACACACACTTGCGCACGTACAGACATACACATGCACACACACAAACACACACACACACGTGCATGCACATACAAAAACATACATGCACAAACACACACCCACAAATCCACAGTGTGTGCATTTGTGTGTGTGTGTGTGTTCGTGCGTGTATGTTTTTTCGCCATGTTTTTACAGTGTGCACATGCTGAAAGAGCAGAGTGTGTGTTGTGTTTTTCCAGCATGTGTGTGTGTATGTGAGCAGCAGTAATATCCTGTGAGCTGCAGACTCATGCATTCAGATGCTCACACTGTATATAAATAGAAATGCTGCTGTGTGTGTGTGTGTGTGTGTGTGTGTAAGGAGGGAGGAGAGACGCATCACACTTCATTCTGGCTCTTGCTGAGGATGGAGAAGACCATTATGACACATTTCAGCATAACACCATTGCCTCACAGTAAGAAGGTCGCTGGTTCGAGTCCCGGCTGGGTCAGTTGGTGTTTCTGTGTGGAGTTTGCATGTTCTCCCCGTGTTGGCGTGGGTTTCCTCCGGGTGCTCCGGTTTCCCCCACAGTCCAAAAACATGCGCTATAGGGGAATTGGGAATTGGGGAACGAGAGTGTATGGGTGTTTCTCAGTGATGGGTTGCAGCTGGAAGGGCATCTGCTGTGTAAAACGTGTGCTGGATAAGTTGGTGGTTCATTCCACTGTGGGGACCCTTGATTAATAAAGGGGTTAAGCGGAAAAGAAAATGAATGAATGAATTATTTAATATTATATTATTAAGTAATATCATTAATAATATTATTAATTTAAGTTACTTTTTAAAAACATGTAAGGTCCCACTTTATATTTATATTAACATGCAAGAACATAGTAGTTAAGGCCACTGAATATAATGTACGCAGAACACTTCTGGTGCTCTTGAGGTTTAGTGGTATGGGTAGGTTTAAAAGTGGGTTAGGGGGTAAGGGATGGTCAACAGTGTAATTATAAATGTAATTGCAGCAATTAATTACAGATGTAATTACATACATGTTTACAAATAGTTCTTATGCTTGATTAAATACCTGTATGTACACAATAAGTACATTGTAACTAATTATTAATTACAGTGTAAATATATATATATTAGGTCTACATATAAGGCCACTTAATGTAAAGCGAGACCAAATGTAATGCCAGTTACTTTTTAGTTGAATTAATTAGCCCTAAAGAAATGCTGAATTAAACTGAACATCATCACATTGAATCCCACACCTGATGAGAGAAATACCACTGAAGCTAAATCAGATTTGGAGCCCTTGTTAAGTCCTAATTTCAGTTCATTTCAATTATAGTCAAACTTTTTATAATTTTTTAAAGATTTGTTTTGATATAAGACTATAGTTCTTACTCAACCTGCAGATTATTTTGCTTGTTTAAGGAAAAACACTTAATTTTGGCATATTATTTCTTAAAATTATTTCTGTTTGTCTAGAAAATGCTTCTTGATTTAAGATTAATTAGATATTTGGACTAGAAACAAGACAAAATCATATTAGTTTTTGCAGTGTGTCCATCTTTAATTGTTATATCCAAAGTAGAAATCACTGTAATATCTGTGTTTCAGTCATGGTACCCGGTGTGCTGGCGAAGTGTCTGCCGTTTCCAACAACAACATCTGTGGGGTGGGCGTGGCCTACAACTCCAAGGTAGCAGGTAGGTGATGACCTCATCGCTTCGGTTAAGTTCTTACGCATCAGCAGGATCTGAGCAGAATTGAATAAGCCTTATAAAACCACAAACAAATAAACAAAACCCCTGTGAATTCTGGTAGTTATACTGATCAATCAGGATTCTATCGAGACGATGTTTTATTTTCTGGACAATCGATAAAGACGATGAATGACTCCCTTTGTTTCTCAGCCTAATGGAAAATCAGCTAAATGGATAACTTGTAGTCTTCCCACAGTATTCAATAGGCCACACAAACATCGGCATCAATAACTGCAGCATTTACACTCTGCAGCACATTGATTTCTCTCTTTTCAAAGGCCACAATAGGAAAGACGAGTATCTGGTATTAGTGAATGGGGAATATATCTTCTGTTTAGCTTCAGTCCTCCACCAAAACAGACACACTCACCGTGATCCTTGCCTTCTGGGAAGGTTTTACATCCCTGTCATGTTGAGGAAGATTCCATGTGTGTTTTAATGTCACGTAGCAAAATATCTCTGGCCCAGCTTTGGCCAGATCAGATCACACAATCAGATCTCTGTTTCAAGGGCTATCTAACAATTCCACTTAGCCTAGTATGTCTTCAAGCTAAAGAGAACTGGGACAGCCTGAACCCTTCACGTGAACAAGCAAAACCAGGGGTAGTGGTATGGGGAAGGGCTGAGGGGTAGAATTGGGATTGGACCTTAATCTATGCCCTTGCACGGTTCACTATGCTACGTGAGATAGTGGTTCTGTTTCCAACCCTGTCAGTCAAACGCAGATTCACCAGGTCCCAAGATGCTCATGAAATGATCAATGTCCTGAATCTTGTTCTGCAGGAATTCGTATGCTAGACCAGCCCTTCATGACAGACATCATCGAGGCATCCTCCATCAGCCACATGCCACAGGTTATTGACATCTACAGTGCCAGCTGGGGTCCCACCGATGACGGAAAAACGGTGGATGGCCCCCGGGAGCTCACCCTGCAGGCCATGGCCGACGGAGTCAACAAGGTACTCAATAAGTGGGTTGTTGCTAGATATGGTTGGCATTAATTCAACCCTTTTTATTTTTATATAAAGTAAATAAAAGAAAAAATTAGTCAGCTGTAGTCAGCATTAGTATCAGGCTTTTCCCAGGAGAGTAACGTAAATGTACCCATATAAGGTAAATTGTCTAGTTTTTAGCAGCGGACGAACTTAAGACAATAGTTAAACCACAAACGGCGCTCTAGGCTAGTGTATAACAGCAGATGGTGCTCTAGGCTTGGGTATAACAGCAGATGGTGCTCTAGGCTTGGGTATAACAGCAGATGGCGCTCTAGGCTAGTTTATAACAGCAGATGGCACTCTAGGCTAGGGTATAACAGCAGATGGCGCTCTAGGATAGTTTTGAACAGCAGACGACACTCTAGGATAGTTTTTAACAGCAGACGGAGACCCTAGGCAAGTGTTTAACAGCAGATGGCGCTCTAGGCTATTTTATAACAGCAGATGGTGCTCTAGACTAGTGTTTAACAGCAGATGGCGCTCTACGTTAGTTTATAACAGCAGACGGTGCTCTAGGCTAGTTTTTAACAGCAGATGATGCTCTAGGATATTTTTTAACAGCAGACAACGCTCTTGGATAGTTTTTAACAACAGACGGATGTTCTAGGCTAGTGTTTAACAGCAGATGGTGCTCTAGGCTAGGGTATAACAGCAGATGGCGCTCTAGGCTAGTTTATAACAGCAGATGGCGCTCTAGGCTAGGGTAAAACAGCAGATGGCGCTCTAGGCTAGTTTTTAACAGCAGACGGTGCTCTAGGCTAGTTTATAACAGCAGACAACGCTCTAGGATAGTTTATAACAGCAGACGACGCTCTAGGCTAGTTTTTAACAGCAGACAACGCTCTAGGATAGTTTTTAACAACAGACGGATGCTCTAGGCAAGTGTTCAACAGCAGATGGTGCTGTAGGCCAGTTGTTAACAGCAGGTGACGCTCTAGGCTATTTTTATTTAACAGCAGACTGCACTTTAAGGTTTTTGCTCAAACTGACTTAGTGGTTTCTGTTTGTTTGCGAGTCGAGTGATTCTTTACAAAGCAGATCATGTTTGTCTGTAACATGCTGGTTCTGTTTGTGAAATATTGGCACGTGTTTTGCTTCATAAAACACTGCTGTGCAGAATACCTCACAGGGTAAGCGTGGCTAAACCGATTCCCTCATGAATCCCCTGTCACTGTTGAGAGAGAGGAAAAAAGAGAGGAAAATCTAGAGCAGAACTGCAGCATCTGTTCCAGTCAGATAAAACCTGCAGTTCAGAGTCCTCCTGCTCTCTCTGCCACTTTACATCAGCTTTAACACAACTCAGAAAATAATGTCACAATCTGAAAATAGCAGTGCATTTACACATCCAGGTTCAAAATAAAACCACATTTATGCTCCCATTTTGTACTGGAACTAGAACTGTGGTGCAAAATCGTCGCTAGGTTTCAACCGCACATGACACTCTAGAGGGCGCACTAGGCTAGTTTTAAAAGGAGATGGCGCTATATGCTAGTTTTTAACAGTAGATGTTGCTATAGGCTGGTTTTTAACAGTAGATGGGGCTTTAGGCTAGTTTTTAAAGCAGATGGCACTCTAGGCTAGTTTTCAACAGCAGACGGCGCTCTAGGCTAGTTTATAACAGCAGATGGCACTCTAAGCTAGTTTTCAGCAGCAGAAGACGCTCTAGGATAGTTTTTAATAGTAGATAATGTAGACTCGTTTTAACAGTATATGGCGCTCTAGGATAGTTTTTAACAGCACATGACACTCTAGACGGCGCTCTTTACTAGTTTTTAACAGTAGATGGCGCTATAGGCTAGATTTCAACAGCAGATGACACTAGGCTAGTTTTCAACAGCAGACGGTGCTCTAGATTAGTTTTAAAGCAGATGGCACTCTAGGCTAGTTTATAACAGCACATGACCCTCTAGATGGTGCTCTAGGCTAGTTTTTAACAGCAGATGGCGCTCAAGGCTAGTTTTCAACAGCAGATGGTGCTCTAGATTAGTTTTAAAGCAGATGGCGCTCTAGGCTAGTTTTCAACAGCAGAAGACGCTCTAAGCTAGTTTATAACAGTTGATGATGTAGACTTGTTTTAACAGTAGATGGCACTCTAGGCTAGTTTAAAACAGCACATGGCACTCTAGATGGTGCTCTAGGCTAGTTTTCACAGTAGATGGCGCTTTAGGCTAGTTTTTAACAGCAGATGGCACTCAAGGCTAGTTTTCGACAGCAGACGACGCACTAGGGTAGTTTCTAACAGTAGATGATGTAGACTCGTTTTGACAGTGACGTTTTGAAAAGACTATTGGTTGGATTTAGCGGAGGGTTTAGCTCAGTGGTTCGCTAGCTGATCTGAATGACAAGCTCCACCTTCTTCTGGATGCGTTCAAGAAGGACATATATCTGAAATGTACAGCAAAAATATAGACTAAGTAACATATTTCAGAATTTCACAGCGCCCTCTAGTGTTTTTTTCATCTAAACGTACAACAACATATACCCTAAGTAACGTTTTTCATATCGCAAGAATGTAGACAGCACCCTCTAGTGGGTGTTTTATCTGAAACTAAATGTACACAGCGCCCTCTAGTGGATTTGTCACTTGAAATGTGCCACAAAACATACCTCAAGTAACGTACAGAATTTCAGTATTGCAAATATGTAGATAGTGCCCTCTAGTGGATTTGTCGTCTGAAACTTGCAAAAAACGTACCTCAACTAACTTTTTAACAGTTGCAAAAAAGTAAACAGTCCCTCTAGTGGATTTGTCATCTGAAATGTGCAACAAAACATACCCTAAGTAACGTATTTCAGATTCACGGAAATGTAGACAGCGCCCTCTGGTGGATTTGTCATCTGAAATGTGCAACTAATCATACACGGAGCAATGTATTTTACATTTGACAAAAATGTAGGCTGAGGTATGTGTTTCTAATGAGCCTGAGCTGGCATAATCCCTGTCCAGAATCTCAGGCTCTTCCAGCGCTGTTCTCTAACAGATGTCAGCTCTGCACAGTGTTGTAGCTGCTCGCTGAACCTGTCATTTAGTGCACATCCTCTGTCCACCACTCATGTCTCCACAGATCGCCTGGGCTAATATGTATAAATGGTGCCGAGCTGAGCAGGATTCATGAGGCGGCTCCACTTGTCAAGGCCAGTAATATCAGTGTGTTTTCAGCAGGCCTTTGCTATTGAAATCAGCTAAGACAGAAATAGCAGTGGGTGAAGGCTTCAAGTATGCATTATCTTTTTTGTTGTTGATGTCTTTTAAGAGCAGCCTTTTATTATCACAGCTTCAGTATCAGTCAGGAGCTGCTCTCTTTCTGTGAATCTTTGGCCATATATAGTGTAAATACAGATCGGGCACTTATTGTAATGTGCAATTCACACTATTAACAACTATCAAATCATTAACTAAGACTTTTAGCTCAATTAGCTATTAATTCGCTGTTTATTAATAGTTAGTAAGGTAGTTTGGTTTAGGTATTGGTATTACTTATGTAGATACTTCATAAGTGCTAATAAACAGTTAATATATGAATATTAGACAGGTAATAAGCCAGTAGTAAATGGTATGAATTATTATTTAAACTAAAGTGTTACCCAGATCGAACACTAGTCACTTATGGCAGGTTTCCATTGAGTGGTACAGTACAGCATTTCCAATGTAGAAAGTTTACCAATGGTGGGCGTTTGTGGATAAATGTTCATTACTAATATTTCTATGAACATGATAACTGCAGATCAATGATAGTGTGAAATAGCCTAGTGTAACGTCTGTGATTATATAAAATAAATAAATAAATAAATGCAACTTATTATGAACACACACAGACCCTTTCAGTCTCCGAAATGTCATCAAGTACAGAAAAACTACACACAGCAGACATTTAGTCCTTAGTTGGGTAAATGCGTTGTACGCCACAAAAGATGAATTACTATAGTTGTTGTGTTACGGTAGGAACCATATAATCACCACAACACATTGATTACTATAGTTGCAGTGTTACCATAGCAACTGTACAATCCCCACAACAGATTAAATACTATAGTTGTTGTGTTACCGTAGCAACCGTATAATCGTCACAACAGATTAATTACTATAGTGCTTGTGTTACCATAGCAACCGTTGAATCACCACAACACATTAATTACTCTAGTTGTTGTGTTACCATAGCAACCGTATAATCACTGCAACACATTAACTACTACAGTTGTTGTGCTACCATAGCAACTGTAGAATCGCCATAACAGAATAATTACTATAGGGTTTGTGTTACCATAACAACTGTAGAATCGGCATAACAGAATAATTACTATAGGGTTTGTGTTACCATAACAACCATAGAATCACAACAGCAAATTAATTACTATAATTGTTGTTACCATAGCAAACGTAAAATCCCTACAACAGATTAATTATTGTAGTTATTGTGTTACCATAGCAACTGTCTAATCCCCACAACACATTTTTTACTACAGTTGCTGTGTTACCATAGCAACTGTAGAATCACCACAACAAATTAATTACTATTGTTGTTACCATAGCAACCATAGAATCACTACAACATATTAGTTACTGTAGTTATTGTGTTACCGTAGCAACTGTTTAATCACCACAGCACATTATTTACTATAGTTGCTGTTACCATAGCAACTGTAGAATCCCCACAACAGATTAATTACTATAGTTGCTGTGTTACCATAGCAACTGTAGAATCCCCACAACAGATTAATTACTATAGTTGCTGTGTTACCATAGCAACCGTGCAATCATGATAACAGATTAATTCAAGTACTCTACTATAGTACGGTTGAAATACTACAGTCCTTTTTTCATATGGGAAAGCTTTGATGTTGACATAGTCTAGTTTGTTGTGTATTAAAGACGAGGTGTGTAAGTGTGAATTTACTGTATTACACAGTTGAGATTTGATTGCACATATTAGCAAACTGCATCAGTTTTATGAGCCTCTTGACAAGGAAAATTATTCGCCAAATACTGTTGTGCTAGTGTTAGCATCAACTAAATGAGTCATGATAAAATAACTCTCAGATTTGAGGATACAAACTCAATATTCAGAGATGTAACTCATAAAATAATAAGTCGTGATCTTATTTTCTGATTTGTTTACGCCAGCGAGTGCTGAAGCCCAGGGGTCTGGGAGAACCGTAATCGGCCCTCGATATGTTAGCATGGTAAATCACCACGTACTGTTCAAATCACAATAATCAAGCCCTCTTTTAAGGTCACGATTGCACTGTTCAGATCTCCTGGCGTCAGGTGCCTGCCGATTTAAAACCCGAAGAAAAGAGCGCTCCTGCATTCAGCTAAAAGCATTAAATTATATGTTCAGATGAGAAGCTTAAACACAATGGCTGCGGCTGCTGAATCACCGCCTGTAAAAGGTCTCGAGACGCCTCTGTGATGCTGTGTGAGTGTAATCTGTATGATGACTGGTGTGTGTGTGCACGAGCGTGTTTTTGTGACATATCAGGACGCAAATGTGTCATGACATAGGTATTGTAATTTAAAACGTTTAAACATACCTAATGGGTCTTTTGTCATTCAAAAATTACCCGCTCAGAAAATTATTGTTGTTTTGGATTGTCTACAGAACAAACCACTGCTGTCCAATCACTTGCCTATTTACTCTAACTTGCCTAGTTAACCTATTTAAGCCTATAAAATGCACTTTAAGCTGAATACTAGTATCTTAACATGGCTGTGACACAGGTATTACAATGATATGATGAATTATGAGGACACTGCCTATGTGGCCATTTTTCTAAAGGCTTATGAATCATATAGAAGAAAAAACTCCACACCGTTTTTTATGAGGTGTAAGTTAGAGGTAAGTGTAACCCTGCTGATCCTACGCCGGCCGACAAGCTCCGAGTTGGTATCGAACCGGCAACCTTCCGTGTGGGAGTTGGTTGCTCCAACAAGGAGGCTAAAGACCATGACCTCTAGCATCTGTCGTTAGAGCATCTTTAGAGGTCAGGGGAGTGAGGTTTACCTGCACAGCACTTAATAGCTGGCGTCCGTTACATAAGGCAACACAAAATATTGTCTAAAGAGTATAAAAACAATCATAACCTATATAATGTACTGGTTTTAGTGATTATGACAGTATGACATGGATATGATCAAGGTATTAAAATGCTGAGGTGGTTAAACGTGTGGAAAAATCATACGTAATGGGGTGTTTCGACATTTAAAATTTGGCCCCTTAAACTGGACCTGATTTGGACCAAATACAATTACTTCAGCCTTCTCATTTAAAAGTGTGTGTGTGTGTTTGACAGGGTCGTGGTGGGAAAGGCAGCATCTACGTTTGGGCTTCTGGAGACGGCGGCAGCTATGATGACTGTAACTGTGATGGATACGCCTCCAGCATGTGGACCATATCCATCAACTCGGCCATCAATGATGGACGCACGGCGCTCTATGATGAGAGCTGCTCCTCCACCCTCGCCTCCACCTTCAGCAACGGCCGCAAGAGAAACCCTGAAGCTGGCGTGGTGAGTGTCTGTGTGTGTGTGTGTGTGTGTGTATATCCAGTGGTGTAAAATACTCAAATGAATTGAGCAGATCTTCTCAGCAATTGTAATTTACTAAGTAGTTTTAAACGTGTGTACTGTTCCTTTGAGTACATTTTTAGTGCTTTCTCAGTCATTTTAATACACTACTTTCCTTTAACCTGCAGTCACTACTTTTTTTTTCTTGTCAATGGGCTTAAGTACAGGGTCTCAGAAATAAAGATACGCGAGCTGTCACTGGGGTGGTGCCATTTCAAAAGGTACACATTTTTACTTAAAGGGTCCATACTGGTACCTCAGACATAAATTAGTACCTACAAAATTTATGAGGAACACTTTTGTACTTTTTAGCTGCTAATATGTACCCTTGAGGTGTTAATATGGACCTTTTAGGTACAAATTTGAATCTTTTGAAAGGAACCACCCCAGTGACAGCTCGCAGGAAAGATCAGCCACTCTATCCTAAATAATAATAATTTTGCATCATAAGGATCTGTTTCAAGACATGTTTGGAAAGTGTCCAAGAAGATGTCCAAAATCTTTACACACAATCACCCAGTTTAGACTGCATGAGAGGATGAAGAATGTTTACGGTATGATGACTGAAATGGCCTTATATAACTGAATGCATTACAGAATGTTACGTTTACACACACACACATGCAAAAATTGCATGTAAATGCATCAGCCTTTCACAGCGTGATACTACTCACTACTCTTGAGTGTAAAAGCAACCCAAGCTCATTCTGAAAATGTAGCCCCGCAGACGTTCCTGGAGACCACGATTTACGTGGCCGAAGGTACGTATGGCTGCATTTAGTTTTTTCAAGCAAAAACTAAGGGGTGGAGGGCTTTCCTGCCGCAACCAGTTTGTCCGGTTAGCTCGTCGTGTTATGTTGGCGGAGCGGAGGCCCGAAGGAGGAGTCCGGGGTTCGAGTCCGGGGAAAAGCGGTTCCAGAAATCAGGTGACAAATAACAGAATCCAAAAAATAAAGCGAACGAGTTCATAACGGGGCGAGAATGCGGTGAAATCCAAAAATGCGGTCAAAATCAGCTGAGGGCTTTTCTTTTTCTGGACGGCTTTTGTAAATCGTCGCTTGGGTTTAGGGATGGAATAGGAGGAGGGAGGCTGGGTCGGTCAATTGGCCGGCCGCCCAGTCAATCGTTCAGTCATTCAGTCAGTCCGGCGGCTTTTTGCGTGAGAACGGCACGCGCTCCCGAGAGGCGTTCGAATCGCGCACAGTGACCTCTCGTGAAAACAAAAACTCCACAAATACGTACCTCCTGGGACGTCTTTTCTTGCGTATGATTTTTCAGATCGCTTTTCACCATTGTGTGTATCCTGTATACCTTACATTATGAGGACCCCACATTATACAAGTATAGCAATACCATAAAATTTTACCCTCGTAGGGAGATTTTTTTGCTGCTTATAAATGATATATTAATATAAATCAATATTTATGCTTATAAATCAGACATAATTAAGTATTTTAAAAATGTAAAATGCATATCTGCTGTCAGGGATGCATATAGGCAATGCAAGTTTATTTATATGGCTCATTTCATACACAAACTCAAAGTAATTGAAAGTGCTTTACACAAACAAGAACAAGAGAAGGGCTTCACGGTGGCACAGGGTAGCACAAGTGCCACAAAGAAGGTCGCTGGTTTGAGCTCCTGCTGGGTCAGTTGGTGTTTCTGTGTGGAGTTTGCATGTTCTGCTCTGGTTTTCCAGCAAGTCCAAACACAGTGTAGTGTATGTGTGTAAATGAGTGTGTATGGATGTTTCCAAGTGATGGGTTGAAGTTGGAAGGGCATCCGCTGTGTATAACACATGCTGAATAAGTTGGTGGTTCATTCCGCTGTCACAACCCCAGATTGATAAAGGAACTAAGCTGACAAGAAAATGAATGAATGAATGAATGAATGAATGAATAAGAGAAACAAAATACAAGTATATAAATAAAAACAACAAAGAATATAGATGATTAAATATGTGATAAAGATTATATATATATATATATATATATATATATATATATATATATATATATATATATACACACACACACACACACACACACACACACACACACACACACACACACACACACACACACACACACACATATACATATATATATACCTCACAAGTCTCTGATTTAATTTAATTAATTATTAATTTATTTATTTAGGCATATACATTAGGTTCAATAGCCAAATCTGGAGCTTATCTAACAAAATAACTTACCATAATGGTCCAAAAATGTGTAACCCAAGTTTATATGTTAGGTAAATGTATTAAACAAAAATGTATAAATAGCAAAAATCAAGGTAAACATAAAATATATAAAATTTTGCATGCATTTAAAGGTATTATCCTTTCTAATATATTATTTCAATAAACGTATCTGTTTAATAAATCTGTTTTGTTCAAACGCACCAAAATACATCACCTATATTCACTGAGAAATGCATAAGAATATTCATTTTCAAAATGGGAGCTACTCATTTATGCTGAGCCCTATATACAGTATGTGTGTGTGTCGGGCAGAAAAGTTTGTAAACCCCTCCTCTGAAGCATCTTTTTCAATAGCACTCTTTCAGTTTTCTAGTCTTCTGGCAGTGTGATAACACAGAGAGAGGCAGTGATAAAATGACAGAGTTAATAGTTTCAGCCGTTTTGTGTCTGAACAATGAGTGGAAATGGAAATGGAGTGAGCAATATCTGCGACTCTGAGAAAGATCTGAGATGAACACTGTGTTTAATCTGTCAGATTTGTTCAGTCAGGCTGATCCGGGTTACTGCGCTTCCAAATGTCATCACTAAACACTCACAACACACACCAACTCTACTTTATAATATCATTTAAAATGGAAAAATCGATGATATACAATTAGGGCTCTATCATACACCCGGCACAATTAGGTGCAAGAAGGGTTAGGCACGATTTATTGCTATTTTCAGACCAGCGCAACCCTAATTTTCATGTTTTGCGCCACGTTGTTTAAATAACTCACTCATTTGCGCTACTTTGCTGACTCGTGGGTGTGCTGGTCTATAAAGGAGGTGTGTTAAGGTGCATTGTTGACACGTTGCTATCTTGAGGAACTGAAGTAGACCGCACCATTGACCAACTGAAAACTGCTCCAGGGCAGTGCATGTTAGTTATGCGCCTATGCAGGTCCAAACGCTTAGACACTGCTGAATACACACAGGATGAACAGCAACACACAAATATGCCTCTGGTGGATTTACAGCAGCCACGAATAGCACGAAATTTGAGATCTGAAAAAGCGTACACAGCGGCCTCTGGTGGATTCACGAAAACAAAAACTGCAAAAAGGCATAGCTCCTGGGACACATTTGGGGCTCTCCATTAATGTATACAGGGGTACATATCCATAATGAGCCTGGGTTAGTATGTTTTGAATGGTAAGGATGGTGAGGATTCTTCCTTCCTGTTTGCATCATTGAATCCTGAAAACTGCATTAGAATATGAAGGGCATCCTTTACCTGCTGTTTACTGAAGTGTAATGAGCATGTCATTGACACTAATGTTTAATTAAGGGGTTCTCTCTCTCTCTTTCTCTATGTGTGTGTGTCTCCAGGCCACCACGGATCTGTATGGAAACTGCACGCTGCGTCACTCGGGCACATCTGCTGCGGCTCCTGAGGCTGCTGGCGTGTTTGCATTGGCGTTGGAGGCCAAGTACGTACACTTCTGTTTCCCAGCGCACAGCATTTATGATTTATAAAAACAATAAGGCATCTCGAGAAAACACAAACGATCAGCCAAGACGGTAGATCAGTGCTGACGAGCCGAGTGTCAAAATGTGGAAGCAGAAACACAGCTCTGCACTAAACTGCCTCGTCTCATGTATGATTGATGCGCTTTTCACACTGAAGCGGTGCGGATGCCAAAACCTGCACTGCTGTTCATCTGGAGGAGAAATGTGCACACAAATAAACATGCTGCATTATGATGTCTTATATCTCCTCCTAGACCATTCATACTACAACCTAACACCAAACCTCCAAACTAGTCTGACTCAGGCTGCTCTATCTTTTACAACTGATTTCACTTACAGTTCACCCAAAACTGACCCGGAAAATTTGGAAAACTTATAACTTTCACCACTTAAAGTTGAGCTCATTTTACTCAGACTACCAATCTACCAATCACTGATGACCTTTCAACCTAGCCACACCCTAGCAACCACTTATGGTACCTTAGCAACTGTCCTATAGACTTTCATTTTAAAAAAGCTGCCATTGACTATACATTGGACATACTAACGACATACTAATCATACTATAAACATGCTCATTCATACTAGAACCATGCTAACAACATGCTAGTATATGCTAGCTACATGCTAATTCATGCTAACAACAGGCTAATTCATACTAGAACCATGGAAATTTATGTTAGCAACTGCCTAGCAACCCCTCAGAACACTTTAGAAACTACCTAGCAACAACTTAGCAACCACTCAGAACACCTTAGCAACCACCTTGCAACCCCTTAGTAACCACTCAGAGTACCCTAGAAATGCCTTGGCAAACCACTTAGCAACCGTCAAGCAACACCTTAGCAACCACGCAGACCCCCATAGCAACCGCATAGCAACACTTTAGCAGCCACTTAGAAGACCTTAGCAACCACCTAGCAACACCTTAGCAACAACCTAAAACACCTTAGCAACCAACTATCAACACATTAGCAACCACCTAGCAACGCCTTATTTACTACCTGGAACACCCTAGCAATGCCTTAGCAACCAAAGAGCAACCACTCAGAACACCTTAGCAACTGCCTAGCAACGCCCTAACAAACAGTCAAAACACCCTAGCAATGCCCTCGAAACCACTCAGAACACCCTAGCAACCACCCAGCAACACCTTCGCAATGACTCAGAACACCCTAGTAACACTTTAGCAACCACTCAGAACACCCTAGAAACCGCCTAGCAACAACTAGGCAACCACTCTGAAGACCCTAGCAGCCACCTAGCAACACCTTAGCAACAACCTAAAACACCTTAGCAACCAACTATCAACACCTTAGCAACCACCTAGCAACGCCTTATTTACTACCTGGAACACCCTAGCAATGCCTTAGCAACCAAAGAGCAACCACTCAGAACACCTTAGCAACTGCCTAGCAACGCCCTAACAAAGACTCAGAACACCCTAGTAACACTTTAGCAACCACTCAGAACACCCTAGAAACCGCCTAGCAACAACTAAGCAACCACTCTGAAGACCCTAGCAGCCACCTAGCAACACCTTAGCAACCACTTAGAACACCCTAGCAACAACCTAGAATACCTTGGCAACAACCTAGAATAGCTTAGCAAACTACTTTTAACACCACTACCTGGAACACCCTAGCATTGCCTTAGCAACCGCAGAGCAACCACTCAGACACACACACACACACACACACACACACACACACACACACAAGAACTGATGATTTTCTTCTCAGTAGTATACGCTGAGATTGAGTTTTGGCATCATCACCGTGTATCGATGTTCATTTCTGAGAGTTTTCACTTGATACGACACACTTTCACTGGTTAATGAGGAATGAATCTGGCACATGCGCTGCTCATCAACTCATGAAAATAAATTGAAAGTCATTTTTGGCTTAAGTCAAAGATTACTCCTGTATTTCACTGTCTGCCAGGAGGAAAATCATATTTGGCCTGCGTCTGGTCCTGGAGACCCATTAGAAGTTTAGTACGCAGAGCTGACTCTCATCTCTCACGACAACCCTCCTGTTGTCTATAATTCAGTTCAATACACTGTTCATCCTTTGTGTCCGTCTTCCCTAAACCTCTAAAATAAAGCAGATACATTTAATGTCAATCTTCAAATCTGTATGAAGAAGCTGATCTTCATCACACGCAATGTTTGTGTGCCTCCTCAAAAGTGTGCAGTATTTCAGCAGTGTTCACTCAGTGGACAACACTACAGTAAATAAGGGTGTTAGTAGAGTAAAGTGTGTAGCAAGACTGTATTGATTATAAAAGGGTTAAATTGACCCAAAAGTCAAGCCTTTTACCCCAAACATGTCCATCCTTCATGAAAATAGAACAAGATTCATTTGTTTCTAGCTTTGGATTGTAGAATAAATCACCCAAACACCTGCTGTTAAAAAGTGGGCTTTCCTCTAAACTATTTACATACATTAGATTTTTTACATAAATTTAAATAACTATGCCCTTTTCTCTACAGTATATAATTTACGTAAATGTGCTTTATATTATTTACATAAAATATGTTATTTCTGCTAAATTATTTACATAAATTTTCTCTATATTATTTACATAAATTTCCGCTATATAATGTGATTAAGCAATAATTATGCAATTTTGAACTTTTCTGTATATTATTTACACAAATTATGTTCTTTTCTCTGTAATATTTGCATAGATTTTCTGTATATTATTTTCATTAATTATGCTCTTTCCTCTAAATTATTTACATGAATTTCCTCTGTAATATTTATATTAATTATGCTATTTTTTACGTCAATTTCCTTTATTATTTACATAAATTTCCTCTATATAATGTGATTATGCAATACTTATGCAAGCATGCACTTTCTTCTATATTATTTACAGAAATTATGTTCTTTCTGCTCTATTATTGACATAGATTGCATGCATTATTTACATATATTTTCTTTGTTACATTCATTTAATACATTTCCTCTTTATTAATAACTTAAATTATGCTCTTTTTACATAATTTCTTATAATCTATATAAATTATGCACTTTCCTTTTATATTTCTTTACCTAAATTTCTTCTAGATTATGCAATTATGCATTAATTATGTAATTACCCGCTATAATATTTACATAAATGATGCATTTTCCTCTATATTGTTTACATAAATTATGCACTTTCCAATGTATTATTTACAGAAATGATGCCTTTTACATAACTTTTGTTTATTATTCACATAAATAATGCACATACCTTTATATTATTTACATAAATTATTCACTTTCCACTATATTATTTACACAAAGGATGCACTTTCTTGTATATTATATCATAATTATGCTCTTTCCTCTTTATTAATTACATGAATTATGCTCTTTTTACTTAATTTCTAATAATCTATATAAATTATGCACTTTCTTTTATATTTTTTACCTAGATTTCTTCTAGATTATGCAATTATGCATTAATTATGCGATTTATACACGATTTATACACATGATTTACATAAATGATGTATTTTCCTCTATATTGTTTACATAAATTATGCACTTT